TGAATTGAATGAAATAGTCTAAAGTGCTGACATTTTACAAAGTCCACCTTGTCTGAATTAGTATGATTTGCCTGCAGGTTTTAAGGCAATGTGCCATTGGGACAATTTTATTAAAATACAGGAGCAAGGACACCATGATCTCATCAGTCTTTAAAATGAGAAGCAGATGGGTAATGTCTATAGAACGCCTTCCCCTCTTTTTGTATTCCTGGCTCTGCCCTGGTTTCAGATCACAAATGAACACATTCCCCAATGGAATTTGACTCCAGACACCAGACTAGTGTTGTTTCTTTCTGAGGGATCATCTTGCTCATGATACAATCATTGTGCAGTGACCAAGAGGCCAAACGCCCTCTCCCCAATAAGCAAGAGTCAGCAGTCTTACTGGCACTGAGTTTAAACACCTTTAAATGACAGCACCAAGCATGTGTCCTGCCCTGTTGCAACCTTCTGAAGAGAACCAGAGGCCTGTGTGAAGTTCACTCCTTCATCAGAGGAGTTGATGAACAGGTTTTAGACAAGAAGAAAAACCAACTGAGATATGGGGATAATATGTAGATTACATGTCACTAATAGTAATCATAACATGCCCGAACTGCTTACTCTGTCTCAGGCATTATCTCTTTAAACCTTACAGCAACCCCATGAGGTAGGTCCGTTCTGCAGTGGAGAGACTGAGGCACAGTGTGTTAATAAATTCTTAAGGTCCCACAACCAGCAAGTGACAGAGCTGGGATTCTGTCCAGCCTATTGGCTGGAGTAGCTGAGTGGCTCCAGAGGCCTCATACTGAAGTACACAGTCTTAGTCTCCATGGGGAGCCCTGAGGGAGGCCTGAGAAGCAAATGGGGAAAAGGATGCTGGAGGCATGTCAGTGCTCATACAGAGGAACCAACAGAGACCCAGAGAGGTGAGATACTTACCCATGGTTGTTAGGCTATTGATGGCAGATCTCACACTAGCACTCAACCCTGCTAATCCCCAGGCCAGTACACTTTGCTCTACACAATGCTGTCTCCTCGTCAAGGTGCCCCAGGAGAATCACTCCTCTTTCTTACCTCCTGGCATATATACTTTCCAAAGTACCAGTGTGTGTGACCAACTGTAGATGCAGGTGTGACTATAATGAACAGAGCAGTGGTAGTATTACCAGGCACCGTTCTGAGAGCTGCTTGGTGTCAGGGAGAGGGAAAAGACTGGGAATGACTGGACTATGTGGGCCCATGTAATATGGATCTGGTCAGAGAGCCTCAGGTCACACATGTGAGCTGTGTGGTCTCAAGCAAGTTACTTCACCTCTCTGAGCCTCTATTTCCTTGTCCACAAAATTGGGGTAATAAAACTCATAGGGTTAACCTCATGGGGTCACTGTGAGTATTAACTATTAGGACTAATGCACATAAAGCACCCAATCCAGTGTCTGGCACATAAGTGCCAAGGCAACTTTGGCACACAATTGCTAAGTGTTGCTTCTTGAATTGTCTGCTTAGGAGTTGCCTGAGCATATGCTCCTTTAACTATGACCTATGGATGAAAAAAAAAAAAAGTTGTTTTCCTCTTCCTTTCTTTACCATCTTGAGAATGGTGATTCCTACCTGTGTATTTTCCTCAGGTGCTCACCAGCCTGGGGCTTTGAGACATTGGCCTGTCAAGACCTGTTCTCACAGTCCAGCTCAGAGCCTCTCTTTGCTTTTAACACATACCACTCAGCTTTTAGAAAGTTCCTTCCTGGATCCAGAGAGGGTGTGTCTAGCAGTGCATTCTTTCCAAAGCCCAGAAATGGGAGGATTCTATGAGAATGCTTTGTAGAATACATATATTTGGCAGAAGGGCATGAGGGTGGCTGAAAGAAAGAGCCTGTTGTTTTGCTTCCTAGTTTTGTATATTCAGTCTTTTCTGTAGAGGATTAGGGCTCCATTTGAAATTTTTATTTTTTATTTTCTTTTAAATTATTATTTATTTTAGGGAGAAAGTGAGAGTGTGAGTGAGAGGGGCAGAAGGATAGAGAGAGAGAGAATCTCAAGCAGAGTCTGGACTGAGTGCAGAGTCCTATGCAGGGCTCAATCCCACGATCCTCAGATCATGACCTGAGCTGAAATAAAAAATCAGATGCTCAACCGACTGACTTACACAGACACCCCTCCATTTGAGATTTTTAGAGATAGCATCTCTAGAGTCTACCCTGAGATCTGTAGGGGGTTATTTTCAAGGTTTGGACCCCTTCCATTGGAAGCACCCAAAGCTGCCCATTGGACAGACTAAAATAGTAGAATTTCTTCTCCTTGCCAAAACGTCAGAAATGAACTCTTGCTAATAGGTATCAAGAGTCTTTAAAAAAGGTTTTTTTCTCCACTATGATTCTTTTAATTTCTTGAAATGAAGATAACTTTTTTAAAAGTTGACCTTATTTTGAGATGTGGTTTAGCCATCTCAAAGCAGTAAAATTATAGACAGCTTTGTTCCTTTTGCTTATTTGTACTTTTCTAATTTTTCTACCATAAGAAAGAATTACTTAGGTAATTTATTCTGAGGAAATCACCCCTTACTCTGACAAAGATGTCAGCATTATTTACAGAAAACACTACAACCTAACTGTTCATCAATAGGGAATCACTTATCTGAAGTATGATTCACCCATACAGTGATATACAATACAACCACAGGGTGACATTTACAAAGAATATTTAATATTATGGGTAATGCTCACAATAGAATGTTAAATTTAAAAAATAGTATATGTAATGACACAATCGAATGGCTAAAATAAAAAAGACTGACCATACAAAGTGTTCATGAGTGTGTGGAAGAACCAGAACAATCATACACTACTGTGGAACTATAAGACAGTACCAATACTTTGAAAAAAAGTTACTTTTTAAAATATAAATTTAATATATAAATTTAAAATACATAAATTTGGTAGTGCCTGGGTGGCTCAGTCAGTTAAGCTTCTGCCTTGGGCTCATTATCCCGATGTCCTGAGATCCAGCCCTGCGTTGGGCTCTCTGCTCGATGGTAAGTCTGCTTTTTTCCTTCTGTGCTTTCTCTTGCTCCCAAACAAATAAATAAAATCTTTTAGGGGTACCTAAGTGGCTCAGGTCATGATCCTGGGGTCCTAGGATCGAGTCCCACATCAGGAGCCTGCTTCTTCCTCTGCCTATGCCTCTGCCTCTCTCTGTGTCCCTCATGAATAAATAAATAAAATCTTTTTAAATAAATAAATAAAATCTTTAAAAAATTATTTTTAAAAATAAAATAAATACATTTAAACATATACCTACTTTCTGATCTAATAACTTTATTCCTAGATATTTATTCAAGAGAAATGAAGACATATGTCCACAGGAAGACATGTACATAGCAGCTCTATTCATAGTAGCCCCAAATTGGAAAAAATCCAAATGTCTACCAGCAGGTGAATGGGTAAACTGTGGTGTTTACGTTCCACTCCATACAATGGAATACTACTCTATAATCAAGAGGAATGAACTGCTTATACTTGCAACAATGTGGGCAAACCTCGAAAACACTAGACTGAATGAAAGAAGTCAACATAAAAGAATACATAGGTATGATTTAATTTATATGAACACTAGAAGAACAAATCTAATCTATGGTGACAGATAGTTGATTGGGGGTCTCCTAGAGCTGTGGATTGAGATCACTAATGGAAAAATGACCCAGAGAACTTTTTGGGGTAATGGAAATATTCTGTATCTTGATTGTTAGTAGTGGCTCTAGGAATGTGTGAAGAAATATTCATTGTCAGTATTTGCAATATGACTAAATAAAAGATATTATGTATCTGTGTGTGTGTGTGTGTGTGTGTGTGTGTGTGTGCCAGATATAACACCATAGGGTCTCAATTTTAAAAAGAAAAAGGAAAAAAAAAAAGAAAAGAAAAAGGGGGGCAGAGAAAGAATACCGGAAGCATATTTCTAGAAAAGTAGTGGTGGTTAACTCTAATTTGTGCAATTACAAGAGATTAAAAGATTATTTTAATAATTTTCTGGGTTTCACCTAGATTTTGTCCTATGAACAAATATTCATATAAATGTTAGCAAATACAATCTAAAAATAATTATTGAGACTATTATTTAAATTATTTTTTTTACATCTTTAAAGATATTCAATCAATTATATCTCAGTACAGCTAGGAAAAAAATTCAAAGACTTTTTGGTGACACATGTCTGTAGAGAACTAAAAAAGAGACAGCAGGCATGTGTTCTTCAGCTCACGAGCTATCTTTACCAAGTCGTGAACTGCGTACCAGCCATACCATGTGAGAAAGTAGCTCCTATAATGCTGAGCAACACATCTCAGTATGGGTGTCTCCTAAAAACTTAGAGGATTTATGTGAGGTAAGCAGATTTTGCACAAAGTTCCCACTGAGATCATTGAGTTCTCACTAGGGGCAAGGCTCTATTCCACCATCTTCGGGGAGGTGGAATTAATGAAACTTCTGGATTGGTCCTTTGGAGACCTTGACTTGAAAGGGGCTCTGTGGGTGGTCCTCAACCCAAGGCCTGTGCCACCCAGTCAAGTGGGCATAAAGGGGCAGAGACCCTGGAGTGTTACTCCATGGGGTGCAAACCCTGGAACGTCATGACTCCTTTGAGGAGGAACACTCCCAAAGCTGTCATCCCCAATGGCCATTTCCCTCCTTTGAGCCTCTCTCCCTTCCAAAATTGTGAGAACCACAGCTTCTTCCTCCTGGGTACACCCCACTCCCATAGCTCCTGTATGTGAACGTACTACTTTTTCTAGATTAGGTCATTTTTATTTAGTTGATTTGGTGGCGTGAAGGGAAAGTAGCCATCTCCCCTAAGGGAGGGTGCTAATGTCAGGGCTAAGGGAGAGAGTGGACACCATGACTCTAAACTTCTCACAGGGTCAGAAATCCCTGGATGCTTCTGTGCAGTTCTTGGGAAAGATTATGAAGTTGGGTCAAACTGTTGGCTGGCCCAGGTCAGAGAAGGTGCTTCGTGGCTCTCTTCTTACCTTTGGTGCCTCTTCACCCAGGAGATCCATTTTCTCCCAGGCTGGTTCCACCACCAGAATATGTTCCATGGCTTAGCTTCTGTTCATAAAGAACTAGCTGTTCTGGCTGAAATCTGGCCCGTCTGCTCAAACGATCTTCACGGTGGCTCTCTCTGGTTTCTAGACCATGCTCTTTGGCCTTATTCTAACTTTGCCACACTGAGGAAAGAGCTGAGAAAACTTGGCATCACTGTGCCTTGTAGACTTGCCACCCACCACAGGAAGTGGATGTAGCACTGGGAAACCAGGCTGGCCCTGCCCACAACACGTAATTACTGGGTTTGATATTTGGATGGTCCAAGCCAGTGCCAGGTCTCTTGTACTTGTAGGAATCAGGACATAATCCCCCATCCTTTCTTCCAAAACAAACCCAAGGAGACTTTATTCTCTGCACTGATTTCCTTTGATGAGGTTTTGCCTGATGGATGACTCTTTTCCCTCACCTTGGCCTCTAATTACCACCCACACTTGCTTCCATCTGTTGTGGTTTCTGAGCTAGGAATGGAAGTGTACTTGGATGTTTTATCATCACTTTGGAACACAGGCCTAGAAAAGCACAGGGTTCCCTGTAATTTCCACTCCTTTGGATTTCTATTCAGCCTTGGTTTTTGCTGAAACAGCACACGAGGCAAAGGATAGACGAGGTATGGGCACCTTCCCAAAGTGCCAGCTACCTCCCTGTCTTATCAAAAGTGAAATCAAATGATAGAGCAAGTTTCCATCTTTAATCCGCCATCAATCAGCAGGGAGGTATGCACCTACACACCCTGGCAGGAAGCCAGAGGGCAAAGGAGGTTCCCAGAGGTAGCGGCATGCCCTCTGCCCTCAGGGAGTTCACCATGGAGACTATGCACTCGAGTGTGCTCCCGACGCAGACCCAGGTGGCCAAAAGTGAGCAGGTCCAGTTCTCAAGTCAGGAGAGGACACAGGGGCAAGCTGTGATTGAATGTGTTGCATATATAGCAACAGCTCTACATGCTCAGAGCAACTGAAGGTCACTGTGGACTGGACAGTTCTGGGAAGGTGACTTAGAAGAGAATATTTAAACTGAATCATAGGGGCACCTGGGTGGTTCAGTGGTTAAGCGTCTGCCTTTGGCTCAGGTCATGATCCCAGGGTCCTGGGATCCCTGCAGGGTGCCTGCTTCTCCCTCTGCCTGTGTCTCTCTGCCTTTCTCTCTGTGTTATTAATAAATAAATAAAATCTTTAAAAATTTTTTTTAAATAAACTGAATCTTAAAAATCAAGGAAGAGTTATTTCAGTGGAAAGGGAGGGAAGAAAATAAAGGTGCTGCACGCTGCATAAGGGGGTGAACCAGCACTTCCAGGCACCTGTGCTGTGACACCCCCCTTTACTTAGACTTCCTTCCAGACTTCCTTCAAATGGTTTAACAGAATAAGAGAATCCTCTTAGGCTGCAGGCCTACCCCTAAATCAAGAGATGATCTGGACCCTTGAAGATGAAGAAGCCTCTAAATTCCAGCATCCCCATGTCCACCCAAGTAAACCAGCATGTGCCTATACAGTCACCGAAGTAAAAACAGCTAGTTGCAGAGGCTTCAGGGGTGTGCGGGAGAGGGTGTTAGACCCGGGGACACACCACTAAGGGCTGGGGCGGGGAGGGAGGGGTGTGGGAGAGCCAGAACGGGCTGTTGCAGAACCCTGAAGGTCAGATGGCCAAACAGCTCTGTTTGTCTCTGAGGGTGGCCAGAGGGGCAGCTGGAAGGAAAGAATCCAGAGTTGATCTGACCCACCGTCCAGAGGCATTGAGCCTTCCTAATCTAACAAGATTTCCCTTGAGGTCAGAGACTATATACCTGGCCTCCCTCCCACAGCTTCAAGGGATCTTAAAGTCAAAAACCTGCTCATGAAAGGAAAATATCAGGAAGGACTTGTGTGGTGAGCTCTGCAACCTTGAGTCCCTGGTCGGTTGGAGAGCCTCTGAAGCGTGTCCCTGCCAGTGACCTCTGGTGTCGCAGTGGCTGCCAACCCGGAGCCAGCTCTTGCCTCAGCACCTGGCTTCCCCAGCCTGCACTCCTGGCAGCACTTTGTCTTCTTGATCCCCGTGCTCACAGTAGCCCAGGCAAGACCTCGGTGTCCTGGACCTGCCCAGGCCCTTCTCCTGGGTCACTACAAGGGGTGTCGGGGGGTGAACCCTAAGGAGGAAGGCAGGAGGGCTGCTGTACCGGAGGTGGGGGCCCTGGGGCTGTTAGCCAGCCTGGGAGCTGGGAGTATGTTGGTTTGAGTGAGGGAGTAATTTTTTTTTGATACCCATGTGTTTATTCGTCAGGGTTGGAACTCTAAGAGGGCACGTCTGTACTGTTCACCACAATGTTCCTAGCAAGAGGCATCAGGACGGTACTGCTAGGAGGGGGTCCCCACAAAGCATCTGTGAGGCCGGGGGGCGAGGATATAAGCACCCCTGGGGCAGGAGGTTCTGTTTTGTTTACTGCTGTATCTCCCCTCCCCCGCCCCGCCCCGCTTGCTGTATAGTAGACACTAAACATATACTTGTTTGTTGAATTAACTAAGTGTCTAAAAATCACCAGATCAAGGCTGGAAGCCCTTTTTGAAGATTGTCATCTGGGGACAGCTGGGGTGGAAATTTTGCAGAGCCCCAATTTGAGATCCCTCCGTTTATTGAATACCTACTACATGCACTACACAGTGATAGATGTTTGAGGTACAGGCATGAATTGGGTGTGATCTCTGTCTCCAGAAGGTTCACAGGAGATTTGAAACAAATTAATGGAAAAAAAAATTGTGCTGCTGGAACTAGGTGGAATGAGGAAGTCAGCAGAGGTGGATGATTGAAGGTCCCGGCCTCCCAGAGATGGTTTTACAAGTTCTTCCCGGCCTAAATCGTTTGACCCCTAAGGGGGGGGATGATAACCACTTCTGTTTACAGTAGGGGTTGTTACGGGAATTCCGGAGCCAGAGCGTGAAGCTCCGCAGTGCAGGGCGCGGCCGCAGGGCACCCAGGGCAAGCGCGGCCTCGGGCCTGGGGGCTCCGGGAACAGCCCTCTGCACCCTGCCGGCGGGGAGGACGCGCCCACAAACGGCTTCTCACAGGAGGGACCCACAGGGGTCTTTCCAGATGAGGGCATGTTGGCTCAGAAGAGGGTGGGTCAGGTGGGCTGATGGCCCAGAGGGTACACAGCCCCTCCAGCCCAGCGGATGAGGAGGCCCCAGCAGGCCATGGGGGGGGTGCTTCATACAGGAATTGCCCTGACCTCTGCCCCCCTCCCCTCAGCACACAACCCACATCAACAGGAATGTGCATTTCACATTACAATTTCAAATTTCCGAGGAATTTCTGTGGTGTCATCTATGCATTTAGGGCCTTCTAAGGCATGATCACCAGGATGTGCTTCAGCTCTAACCCCAAGCACACAGAAGATAACCCACACAGTTCAGTTGGGGGTGACCACTTGTGACTTGCCAGTTGGCAGGAAGGAGGTACCCTCCTAACCCTGCCTCGGTGCAAGGGTCTGTTCTAAGCACTCTACCTCTACTAACTTGTTTAACCTTCACAACAAGCCAGTGAGAAAGGTGCTATTATTTGCCCCATTTTTCGTTAAATTGAGAAAACAAAGGCACAGAGAGATTATGTAATTTGCCTGAAGCCACACAGCTGAAAAATTGTGGAGGCAGGCTTCAAACCCAGGCAGTCTGGTCCAGAGTTGGAGCTCTTGCCACTACTCTGCGTTACAAACATAAGAAGGAGAACGCCTGGGTGGCTCAGTGGTTGAGCATCTGCCTTTGGATCTGGTTGTGATCCCAGGGTCCTGGGATCGAGTTCCACACTACTTTCTCACTGTGCCTATGTCTCCACCTTTCTCTGTGTGTCTCTCATGAATAAATAAATTAAAAAAACAAACATAGGAAGGGGAAGATAATCACAATCTTTACTATTTATAGAGGGGGAAAAAAAACACTTTTAAGTTTGCTTTGTCAGGAGTATTAGAAAGCTCCATACAGCTAAACCTTTTCAGTTCTAGGGTTCTAGAGGCTGAAAATCTGAAAAGTGTCTGGACGCTCTACCCAGAAAAACACATGGTTGCAAATGTGATTTTGGGGGTGGGGTTCCGGGGGGGTCTCCTGAAACCTATCCAAACACCCCTTATAGGCCTGTGTACTTGGGGTTAATGAGTTCAAGATTTCCTATTTGGCCTGGAGCTGGGGGTAGTGTGGGGTGCGGGTAGGGAGGCGGTGCTGCAAAGACCAAGCAGAAGGCTGACTCAGGCCTCCACCACTGCTTGTCACCCAGCTTAGTACTCGGGAGATGAAAACATTCATTGCAAACTCTGAATCATCTGGTGCTATTTCTTTACATATTTCTGCAAGAAAACAAGGCTTTATTTGGAATGATTCGCCAACATATTATAAATCAAGAGACATACAACACAGACTTAAAGGAGCTACAGAAACTTACAAAGCCTAGGAACTGTAAAAATAAACTATTTCCAATGTTCCCATAGCAAAGCATGTAAACTCAACTCCAGGGAAAAGAACAAATGAAATCAACCTACTTTTCAAGAGGTTACAAATCTAGCTAATATAATGCACAGCTTTTCTTCTTTAAAAACTGAATCAAGGTCGGGGTATCTGGATGGCTCAGCTGGTCAAGTGTCTGCCTTCAGCTCGGGTCATGATCTCATGATCTCGGGGTCCTGGGATTGAGCCCCACCTCTGGTTCCCTGATCAATAAGGAGCCTGCTTCTCCCTCTGCCCCTACTTTTCCCCCTGCTTGTGCTGTCAAGTAGATAAATAAAAAATTAAAAAACCAAAACCAAAACTGAATCAAGGTGATGCATCACCAGGATTAAGAAGTTAAAAAAAAAAAATTGGAAAATCCAGCAATGAAAAGCAGCAGCTTTTCTCTCACCACCTTGAATCCCAGACCCTAACGGTAACTAATTTACCCATTCTGTTTTTACTGCTTCTCAGAGCTACCTCTTCTCTCTACAAAACATGCTCGACTTCTATTGTTTCTGCTGTCATAGCAAGGATTTAGATGACATCACCACTTCCAGGATACCCACCTCCAATTTATTTATTTTTTAAAAAATTTTATTTATTTGAAAAATAATTATTTATTTCAGAGAGCGAGCTAGGGAGAGAGAAAAGGAGCAGAGGGAAAGGCAGAGGGAGAGGGAGAAGCAGGCTCCCTGTGAGCAGGGAGCCTCTCCCTATGTCTCTGTGTCTCTGTGTCCCACAACATGGGACATTGGTTAGCATTGTAACTTTGA